TTTTATTAAAAGGTTTGGTCTTTCTAAGCTCAGAGAGGAGTCAAAGCCAGCTGGATTGAGCTTCTGTACATGACATCTTTTAAGTGATTCTGAGTTTAACTTCTGATCAAATGTCATTTTAAAAAATGGACATTTAAGATCATGAAGTGGGCATGCTGGGGGTGCTGCAGCACCTAGTGGCAAGAGGGAGATTAAAAAATAAATTAAAAATACTTTCCACAATTTATACATTTCTTATGAATATTTTGGTAATGGAATTTGACTGATTTACTCTTTTTATTTAATAATATTGAGGCCTAATTAACAGAAGTTCACGGTAAATTTATATGGTCTACTGACAGAAATGAGGAGAAAATTTGTCAGGGTTTGGTAGTGGTTGAGGACCCAAATGCAGAGGCAGGGAGGCAGAGGAGAGTTTTTTTTTGGATTTAATGAAGCGTTAACAGACACTGAGGCAGGAATCCAAAAAATCAAACATGAAAAAACTCAAACAAACCAGAAACCATGGAGACATCAGGGGGATACAATCACGACAAGAAAGATACAGTGAGACGGAGTTGGAAGAAGTTAGAAAAGAAACCAGCACTGAGGAACTGCACAAAGAGTGTATTTATTGGAGACTGAACAAAGAGAGGACTAACGAGCAGATTGGGAGCAGGTGTGAACAGAGCAAACAGGAAAGGAGCTAGGGAAAAAGGAGAGGGCCACAGAGGTCAACAAATGAAAACTGAAAAATAACCAGAAAACACAACAAAATAAGAATTAAACCACTAAAACTAGAAAACATGGAGCAAAGTAAAACTTAATGCTCAAAAGAAAACATAACAGAACCAAGACTGTGACAGAAACATGGCACAGAAATGCGTTTTTAAATTTGTCCGTTAATGACAGAATTTATCTCAGCAACCTCTGAGCCTCATCATTTGGACGACTGTAACTAGGCAGGGCATCCTGCCTGTAGCTCAAAGTAACAGCATGGTGCCGCCGCACAATTTTTATATCCATTCGTGCAGTTTAACATAGTATTAAAGAGTGTTGCTTTGATCTTGTGTTATTTGTGTAATGGAAAACTATTCAGTAACGTTTGAATAGTATAATAATCTAATAATTTCCTTTTGGTTTGCATACAAGGATTTTGGAGCTAATAGTCGCGTGTTTCATAAACACACAGACTTAGGTTCATGGCAGCTGACCAAATCTACACTGTCACAGTGTTACTGAGAAATTTAATTAATAGCGCATATATTTACCTGAGAACTGATAATCTCTATGTGTTATAGACCCTGATTGCATGCACTGAAGTGTATATGACAATAAATCTCAATCTATTTACTTATTTCTTTTTATTGTATTTTAAACAGGCCTATAGGCTCACAGGTCTTTTGTCCAAAAAAGCAATACAAAAAATGTTTACAGCACACACTGTTCAAAAGTGCGTCCAGCGGTCCTGTTTAAGATTGCTGACATGAACTGTGCAAAGAGCTTTTGCTTCAGGTTTATTAGGGGCAATAAGTCATCGAGAAGGTTTTAAAACTCACTACAATGAGCAGGAAGAGTCACTGCAGCTGGAAAGATTAAAGGTAAAAATAATACTTTTTCACATCTGAATAATAAGCTCTGATTTTATTTCAGTGACTCATTATATATTTATACATTTAGTTAAGATTTGGTTTATTCTATTTTTTTATGTTAACTATTACTTTCTTAGATATTCTTAATAATATCTGATTTATATAGAATGGTATGAAATTATTTGTTAGATATCTTTAGTACTGGTTTGCCTTTAATCAGTGTAAAAGCAGTCATCTTTCTCGTCCGACCACCTTTTGTCTGTGTGACTTTATAAGTTTGGATGTGTTTTATTTTTGAAACCATATGTATAAGTGTTTTTTCCCTCAATATATTTCGTCCTGCATTTTAAGTCTTTGGTGCATTGTTGATATCCATAGATTTGTATTATTTTAAGGTAACTGACATAAAATAAACAAAAGTTTATCACATATAATCCCAAAATAAAGAGAGTTATTTTTCAGCTATAGATATTCCCTTTGCAGCACAACAAGATATGTACAAAGAATAATTTCAGCCCCATAATTTGTGAATTTACTAACATGTGCAGGGTTGATAGTAAGAAATTCTTACTTTCTTTTTTCTGTCTACCAGTGCAGACCAGTTATCTTTTTTTGAAGAAGCTATTTACTACACCAGGGAAAACATTGCTTCATGTTTTTTTGTGTGTATGTTTTCAGATGAGGTGCTGTGTCATTGCTGTTGTTCTGGCAGTCCTGCAGCTCTGCAGCCCAGCGCTGCAGTCTGACCTGTATCCCAAAACCTCTATGCTGCAGAGGGACAAAGAAAACCCAAGCAGTGAGTTGATGTTGTCATTTATCTCAAATTATAACCCCCCCAATTCCTGTCTGTTTTTAATGTCTATGCATAGCCGAACAAACACCAAGTAGTCATTAAGTGATATGCTGGCGAAGATTCTCAGTCATCCAGGTAATAGTCATTCCAAAACAGTTAAAAAACGACTCACCATTACTAAGGGGTGGACCTGTTCTTCCAGTTCAATTTGCATGTTTTCTAAACCAAAACAAGGCTTTGAGGGGCTACTCTATAAAGCTTGGAACTCAATGCTAATCCAGAAATTTTGAATTAAAAAGCTTCCTGGATAGGAAGCGAAACATCTTCAAACATGGAAAACAAAGTACAGTGTTTTTTTTGTTTTTTTTACTTTTTTGCAATAGTCATTGTGTGCTTTAAACAGTAGCTACTGTGATGCTCTAACCATTAGGGAGTGGTGGCCTAATTGTTAAAGTATTGTGCTTGGGTGTCGGAGGTTCTGAGTTCAAGCCCCACTTCCATGGACTGCCACTCTGGCTCTGAGGAAGACTCTTAACCCGACCCTGCTCCCCAGGCGCTGCACAGTGGCAGCCCTCTGCTCCTCAAATGCAGAGGTGAATTTTTCCACTCTGATATTAATACTGTAAAGTTCTATTATTATTAGTTGGGAGTATTAGAAATTATTATGGAGTCAAACTAATAGCTGCACATTGCAGGTCAATTAACATAAAAAGGTTTTTAAGTCATCCTATTTCAGCCAAATGTTCCCTTCAAATGTACTTTGTCCACAGTCCAAACTTAATCAGAATAACATTGATATTTTTTTTTTTTTTTATTATTATTTTTGAAATGTTCAAAGTAATTCCTCTCTATCAAAGCTTTTACCATCTACATACTCTACACAACCCTGTCCTGAAGTTAGGTTTCTGTTTACAAATATAACAACTTTGTATTGGCATTCAAACACATTTAAAGAAGCTGGATTTTGTATAACTGATCAAATCCAACATTCTACATCAACCATATTTTTAGAGCAATCTATTTGTCTTCTTTTTGCCTCTGTTGGTACATAAATCAGACTGAGCCACAGTTCTTGTATAAAACTCCTGATCCAAGAGGCTCCAGAAGTAAAAGAAATAGAAAACTGGCCCTTTTGTGACCAGATCTAGAAAATGATGGGATATATACATATATAAACAATGACAGAAGAAGATATAGAAAAAAAACTGGGACAGTGCTGTTTTATGCACCCAATTATATTTCACATAATTACCCAATAAAGGAAATGACTGTTAAAAAGAAAAAAAAAAATCTTTTCAAGTCTCTGAAGGAGCTCTGTAGTTCTTTTCAAGTGTTCCAATCCTTGGAAAACAAATCTTTCCAAGATGTCCAACCAAAGGTTAGATATTTAAGTATAAGGCAAAACCCAGCAAGTTTTATAAGAACAATGGCCAATTATGATGAGTTTCAACACTCCACTTTTTTTTCCTCAGAATCATCGCTTAACCCTTCCCTTGAAAATGTGGTCCCATCTCGTAGAGTCAGCAACTCTCCAAAGATCAGAGAGGCCCCTGATAGCCAGAAGACCTCTCACTCCCTACCCATGTTTAGTGAACATGTCAACCTCAAGTGGATCACATGGACGGGATCACTCCCAAATGGTGCAGTTGCCATCTTTAATGGTTACACTGAGCGGACTGACTACATATGCAAAGTCAACTGTGAAGCTGGTTTCTATACTCCCAGTAAAGGAGGCTTCTGCCAGTACGCCTACGCCGAGAAAGAGTATGCATCCTCTAAGTTCGAAGTTCTTGTAAACGTAGATCACTTTGAGTTCCTGATGTGGGTTGAAGATTCCTATGGTTCGGTTCCTCCGAGTGCCATTAAAACCTGCCCAAATTCAGACATCTATGTTGGTAAGAACAAGTACGGACTTGGCAAAGTTGTGACTCAACATGAGGCATTCTTCCTTCCCTGGGAGGGTGACGAGTACTGGTACAAGAATTACCAAGTACTTGCTATCAATAGGGACACCTACACACAGCACATATCCCATGTAGAGTATGCCATTGACCAGATAGAGCTTTTCCACCATCCTCCAGAGGCCCTGAAGCTCACCAAGGTCACCAACCTGGAGTGCAGAAACGTGGAGAAGACCGTGACACTGGAGAAGACCACCATAGTGGAGAAGACTTGGAACATTGGGAGGGAGACCCGGAATAGTTCCTTGTCCACCATGACAGCAAAAGTACCGATCCTTGGCCCTGAGAATGTGGACTTTACCAAGGAGCAGACAGTGACCTTCTCAAAGGGGACGTCCATGACAGAGACCATCAGTCACACAGTGTCAGTGGAGCTGACAGTCCCACCAAACCACTCATGTTCTGTGAGGATGGATGGCAGGAAGATGACAGCAGACATCCCATTCACAGGCAGGCTTAGCAGGACCAACCACGACGGAGACACCCACTGGACTTCCATCACTGGCACCTATGACGATGTGAGTGTTGGGGAGATCAACGCAGTAGTAGAAAGGTGTCAGCCAGTGATGGATGCTGCTCCCTGCTCCCCATCCCAGTGATCATCCTAATAAATTTAGAGATTTAAACTTGTATGGAAAATAAAAGGCAACCTAAAAACAGAAATAACTTTGCCTGTCATTTTTTGTGTAACAGTACATTTTAGTTTTGTGGCACTTTGTTTATTAGTACAAAATAAGTAAAAACAGGATGTGGGGTGAAGAGAGGTGGAAGACATGAAAAAAAAGATCACCAAAAATGGTTCCATTGAGGAACATTTCTTTCTGAGTAACAGGACTTTCAGGTGCCTTGACAAGGCTGGAGGTGCGAAAACTCCTGAAAAGAAAATAACATCCCTGCTGTGAGCCTGCCATGCCAAGCTGCTCATACTGGATACAGGTGAAACCCAGCTTTCACAAAGGAGATGAACAGGGGTAGACGTTTGGCACATTTAGGGACAGATTTTCCAGCTAAACAATTTATATTTCTGAATATTTTTGATAATTTCATGTGTTTACTGTTGGCACGAACATAATTAAATAGTTTGTTTTGGTCCCCTGCACTTTTTACTGTCCAAACACATCGTTACGCTAGAGTACACACTAGGATCAAGCAGAAAACTGCAGATCAAGCTGAAGCCCACTTCCCTGATTTTAGACTGCCCACATGCTACTGATTAGACTTCACTCTTTTCTTGTGTGATTGGCTGTCATCGCTGTCCCTCCTGAGAAGCTCATTTTAAGCGCCACTGAATCGGGTCTGTAATTGGATGGTCACAATGCTGCTCAAGTCCTACGTGCTACCATAATTAGAACTGTAGAGTCGCAAGTCTTTTTCTCTGCTTTCTGGTATGTTTTCGATTTTTAAGATATACTAAATGGTCCATGAGTTACAGTCTTGGAGAAGAGCATGGGTCCCCAGAAGAGAGCAGTAGTGAGGGAATCACATTGGGTGAGATTTATTCAATTACACAAGTCTTTGAATTGGTCACGTGTGTGTGTTTGTGTGTGTTTTCTTGTTATTAGACTCGCAGCAAGGGTGTCTGAAAAAAGAAAGAGACATGTGAGACTTCTTTAAAAGTCAAAGTGTGAGTTACATTTAAAGAACTGTGTAACACCCCTCCTAAAACTCCTTCAATTGCTCCATAAAGAAGAATATCCACTTCAAGATTCTCCACCAGATTATAAAGCTCTCAGTAATCTTGTAAAGTATATTTGTTTTATTTAAATTGCTGATAAATAAAATATATTATTGTTATAGTATATCAGGAAGGATCAGGGAGGCCAGCTCTGTGATTGGATGCCCTCTGGTATCAGTGCAGGAGGTGCGAAACAAAAGGATTCCAAGTAAATTAACATCTCTGTTGGATAATGTCTCCCATCCCATGCATGAAGCTGTTGCAGAGCTACAGAGCTCCTTCAGTGACAGACTGCTGCACCCTAAACGCACCAGGGAGTGTTATCACAGATCCTTCATTCCAGCGGCTGTAAGACTTTATAACCACAACTGTTCCCAACAACTTTACATTTATGCTGATTTTTGCACACTTTCTATCTTTGTCAGTTAAATAACGCGCTGTTGCTATTTTCAAATATCCATTAATTTAAAAGTGTCCACAGCTGTATATTGGTTATTTATTCTCCAAGTGCACTGTTTTTATATTGTTAAAACACTGTATAGTACAGTATTTTATCATCATCGAAAAAGGGAAAAAAAAAAAATGCAATCTGCAAATGTAGGTTTATGTATCCAAGCTGAAAATGATTATAAAACTATTTGTTTTTAATCTAGATCAGGGGTCTTCAACGTTTTCCAGGCCAAGGACCCCCAAACTGACGGCGAGATGGAGCGGGGACCCCATAATTTTATATATATATTGTATGAAATTGTGTTATATCAAACTAGTCCTATAGTCACTATTACAGATGGAGTAATGTAACGAAAGTTATTTCTCCCTGGGATTATTAAAGTATTTCTAATTCTGATTTCTGGTTGATGGGACAAGTGTTGTGAATGAAACGGTTCCCAGCTTGAAAGAGCTCCTGTGTGTCGCTGAATGTCTGCATTGATGACTGAAAGACATCTTCTGCCGCCATTGATCTGTTTACTACAGTGTGTTGAATTCATGTTAATGTGGATTTAAAGAATTTCAATAAGTGGAAAAAAATGCAGGGGGGAATATAAAAAAAAAAGTTTAATCAACCAAAACTTTCTTGACCCCCATGTAGTACCTCCATGGACCCCTAGGGGTCGCAGCCCCCTGTTGAAGACCTCCACTCTAGATTAATTGTTGCACCCCAAATTGTCCAATTGTTCATATCATGCATACATATATTTTGTCAGGAGAGGGATAGCAGAGATGCCAGATATGTGGTGGAAACATAGAGAAAGTGGAGGAAACAAACACAGAGGATCTACTAGAAAACACTCTGAACATATATATGAGTTATATTAAAAAGTGCTTGCATCCCCCCACTTCTGAAATCAAAACTTTGTCAATGACTGTTGGGTACAGACACACTAATAGGTTTTTGACAAGTTGGGTGGGAACTCCATTTGTCTCTGTTTATACATTTCAGTTAATTTTCCTGTTTGCTTTGTTTAAGCTCCTCATATCTGTCTATGACGTCCTCCCAAGTCTGGCCAACCTTCACACCTGGGGCCTGTCAGACAGACCTGAGTGTAATCTGTGCCAGAGAAGGAGCACCATGGAGCATATTCTGAGATGCTGCCCAAAGGCCTCAGGAGAGGGGCGCTATTCCTGGTGCCACGACCAAGTTCTAAAATCCTGAGTGGATTTAATCAGCACAGCGATACAGTCAATCACCTTTGTTAGAGCGGGGCAGAAGGCAAACCACCAGCCCAATTCCTCAGAAGGGCTCCTCGCTACCCCTCGTGAATGGCAGCTTCAAGTTGATCTAGAACAGCAACTCAAGTTCCCAGTTAACATAGCTACCACTTCACTCCGCCCAGATATGATGTTAACATCGGAGAGCACCAAGCGAGTGGTCCTACTGGAACTAACTGTCCCATGGGAGGTACGGATTGAGGAGGCTAAGCCAAATACTCTGAGGTCACCGCAGAGTGCCGGAGTAATGGCTGGAAGACCCACAAAGACCTGTCGAAATCGGGTGCAGAGGTTTTGCTAGACATTCACTCCAGAGAATGTTCAAACTTCTTTGTGTTAAGCCAGGTGTACACTGTGATTTTCGGGGCGATTTTCCAGTCATGCGAGAATCTTTCGATGGGGCCAACTTTCAGCCTGATCGTGCGTTGTGAGTCGTCTAGTGTACAAGGGGTTACGAGGGGCAATCAGCCTCTCACGACCTCCTCCCGATCAGGAATCGTGAGGGCAGAATCGTGAGGTCAGCCCGACAGGCGTGGGCAAATCGCTCAGTGCACAAACAAGGATTTCTTCTGTATACACAGCAGCTTGGCAGGGATGCAATGAGTGAAATGCAGTTCTGTCTGTAAAATTGATGGACCGTAGTAGCTACGTTTGCTCAATACTTTGTCGCCTTTTCTTTTTAGGGCTTTCAGCACAAAATTGCACAAATTGCCAAGTGAGCGAGTTTCACTATAGTGGGCTTAATACCCCCTTTAATTGTTTTGGCTTCCAGATAGACGAGTCAGAGCAGCTCCATCTCAGTGCAGAGCTGAGTCCGACTTGGTTTTTAGTCGTACAGTGTGAGCAGTAGCTGCGTGCAACAACTGAAAAAAAATCGCACAGTGTATGCCCGGCTTTAGAGGACTGCAGGTGAGGAAGCCCACCAAGAATATTCTTGAGGCCGCAGAAAAGACCTCCCGGTGGCTACTTGGACACAAGCCGGGGAGTGATCGCCCCCGGCTGGGTCACCCTGGTGAGGGTGTCTTATTATTAAAGACCCAAAACACCCTGTAACCCTGGGTTAAATCACCGATGATGTGTCCAAGTATCAACGTAAGGTTTATAATAGTTCTAACCATCTCTTATTTATTCTGTAGTTTGTATTCATTTACTACCCTGGGTTTGTTGATGTTTTGCATTTTTACAAATTATTTAGTCAGGTCATAACTCTTCTAGGTTTTTGCGCGATTATCAAACTTCTGTGTTTTATTTTGGTGAACTTACTTGTATGGTTATACAGCTATAGTTTAGAATGTGTTGCCTTTAGTTATTTGAATGTAACTTATGCAAGTTGATGGGTAAACTGTTTGGTTGTATCTGTTTATGGAATACTCTATTGGAGGCCATATTGTCTTTCAGACATTAAAGTATTGAAGCAGTGAGAATAGTGATGTTCAAGAAAGGAGGAGAACCGGATCCGTGTAGCTGGGTGCACTTGACAATAATTATGGTCGATTTAAGTTCAGCTAATGTTCTGCTGAGCCATGTTAAACCACTGAGTTATTTTTGGGGAAATTCTTTAGTAAAGACATTTTTACACTAGTCATCTGCCGACTGCCTTCTTCAACCACTTTGGCCAGCATACTTCAGAAGGTTGTGCAGCATGGTATCCCATGCTGAAATGTTTGAGCTGTTGTTTATAAAAGCTGAAACAAGCTTTATTCCACTAAAGGTTTAAACACTAATATAACGTTAACGTTCATGTGTTTTCTCATATGTTCATTACTTATTGACAACAAATTTATGAGCAAACAAGTTACTTCATGGGAGGCCTAGCTACTAGCTGGGGAGTGGGGGCCTAATGGTTAGCACATTGTGCTTGTGTTCCAGAGGTTCTGAGTTCAAGACGTACTCCCAAGGACTGCCACTTTGGGTACCTGAGACAGACCCTTGACACCCACACTAATCCATAATTGTCTCTCACTAGTCTGTGGACCAGCGTTGATGATTTCGTAATCCTTCCTCCCTGAGATCAAATAGCAGAAAGTATATGACAATGAGCAAATACTACTGATGATTTTCTGCATTTAAAAAAAGGGCAAAAATTTAGAGTATACCCACCTTTCCAGGGACAGATACACTACTGGGTGCAGTCCTTTTCGTCCACAAATATATAGGGGGACAGCAGCCGTAATCTGATGCCTTCAGTGAAGATGTGGTTTTTCTTTGCGAACATAGTAGCTTATTTTAATTGATTTCCACCAGTTTGGTCAAGAGTTTTTAACTGAAATATGTTTGAGCTGAAGCTGAATGAGATTTGTTAAACTCTTATATTTTAAATGGAACTTGTGGTGAATTTATTAAATATATATGCAGTTATCTTTTTGACCATGATTTGAGCTCAATTCACACTTTTATTTGGTGTTCTAACAAACAGCTAGTTGGGCATGAATTCACAGAACAACGTATGACAGTCCCAATATTATTTGATTAAATGACATATTTATTTATTTATTATTTACCACAAGGGAAGGGAAGGGTTAATTGGCACCCCTTGAGGTTAAAACATTAATTGCAGAGGAAGTTCAATGTGATTTCAAAACACATCTGTATAGTCCACTAAACATAAAAGCTTTTTTGGGTTTTTCTTTTTTTTTTTTGTGGTTGAACTTTAGTGCAGTTCTCTTTCAGTGGGAGATCATGGGTAGTACAGTGAACCAAATAGAGGAACCCATGTGTCTTGGCTTTTTATGCAGTGTGAGAATGAGCCATAGTTGACAAATGAAGGTGTTTCATCATTTGTTGCCAAATGTGAAGCTGGTGTTAAACTCAATGACTTGTCTCTTAGTGTTTTATATAGGTTGTTAAAAATCAAGCATTTTTGGAGCTGGCAGTTTAGCTCCAGTGCTGATTAACGACTGTAACCATTACAGACTAAGAATAAAAACTAATAGGGCAAAAATTAAGCAACATTCCATATATCGTAAAGGTCTTTGTTTGTTCTCTACAGAGCTCCAAGTTTCGTGTTTTAATGATATTCTTTAATCATTTGAAAAAATGTCACCCTTCTTAAAAATTAGCAAAAACTACACAGTCTCTGAGTCCCTGCTGTTTAGGTTACAAGCTACAACATGAACAGTAGGAGAAATCCCCCAAGAGACAAACGGGCTGAGCGCTGTCACTATGTGGAGGTCTGCACGGCTCCGACAGCCAAATAATATTTTAAGGGAGGATCGCAATCTTGATGAACTGACTGCACAGACAATTTTAAGTGGACTTCTACATTAAAACCAGTGGCGGCTGGCCAATAGAGGGCGCTAGAGCGTCGCCCCACCCACCCAATGACCTTGATTGAGACAAAAAAAAATAATTACAATTAAATTATAAAATTACAATATTTCGAAATATAATAATATAGATTTTTTTAGATGTACAACATAAATATTTTATCTTTAATGACGAGTAAAGCTGTTTAATTTTTTCTTCAGACTGGTGACGTGTTATCGCCATAGGGTGTAAAAATACTTACCCATTGACTCTTGTTAAAAGTTGTACATGTACATTAGCTCCTCTGCAATACAGAAGTATAGTAGTGCTTAGGGCGCACCACAGCTATGCCCTGAGGTGACAGGAACTGTCATCACAATTGTAGTGCGGGAGATTGACACGCCGAGTAAGAAATCATCTGGATCTGATTAACATCAAAATTGGCTCGACAAACTGCATGTAGCACTGCATGAAAAGTGAGATTTTCGTCCCCCCCGTAAACTCCCGCAGATCTCCCTGATTTTCGTCAGTTTCCGACAATTTGCTATCCGCGCTTGTCCGCGTTTGTCGGAAACGGACTCTGACGTATGTGGAGAGCGATCAGCTGTACTAATGGCCCTAATTAGCATATGAATGCAGTAAACCCGCGCGGCTGGCCAGGTCTGGCTTGAATAACCTACTAAGTATTGGCTGAAACCACTATTCTCAAACAAGTGAAATCGCTCGCGATTGGCAGCAAAACCACACGTGCCCCCGCCAG